CCACGCTTGGAATCACTGAGCTCCTGAGAGCGTCCCATTCTATCACAAATGTTTGTAGAAGCAGTCTGCATGCCTAGGTGCTTGGTTTTATACACCTGTGGTCATGGAGGTGATTGGAACACCTGAATCCAATGATTTGGAGGGGTGTCCCAATACATTTGGAAATATAGGATATCTCTCACCTCCTATTCCAGTGACAGCCATCAGTTTCAGGAGTTCCTACCACTTTCTGTCCCAGTGGCAATGGTCACCAGGAGAAATAGAGATTGTAAACCTCTCCAGCAGGGACAGGGATAGAAATAAAAACCTGACAAAGGTTCTAACAATTCCCTACTCTATAAAAAAATAATTAACGCAACATGGGCTATAGATGCAATTTTGAAGCTAATTGTGTGGGTGGATACCTATGCTTACATTTCCTGTATACTAGCCCACATTTATAGTGATATTAGAAATGCAAGGAGGCCTAGGGTACCGCAAAGACCTTTTTGCCCTATAATCTATTTATAGGCAGCTAAAGCTCATTTACCCTGAGCAATCAATGTTTATGTCTAAAAAGCTGTAGCATTCATAGTTAATACGGCAGGTAAAAACAATAACACGCAACACACACGTCACATATTAAAACATAGGGGTAACAACATGAGGGAAAAATGTATACGAATTAAAACAAAACAAAAAGAACATGAAGTAGTAATGCTGAGCCCATGTCAAAAATAAATTCATATACAGTGTATATACAGTATCTCACAAAAGTGAGTACACCCCTCACATTTTTATAAATATTTTTTATATCATTTCATGTGACGACACTGAAGAAATGCTCACTTCTGTGAGATACTGTATATATATATATATATATATATATATAGTTACATTTATCATTTATAAGCAAGAACACACATTGTTTTACGTGCATTTAATAAATTTAGAATTCATCCACAACTTAGTTCTTTATTTAATCTGACAACTAAATAGACAGTTACAAGATATACATTTAAACTATCTTGCTTTTCATAATATTTGTAACTGTTTAGCAAGTATTGTGCTCCTGGGGCCACTAGTAGACTGCTGTTAGTAACCTCACATTACTCCACTGCAGCTAAGCAATACAGTTTGGTCTCTGGCCCACCCCTGTGCCACAGATTGGCCAAAAAAGGAGCATCCCCACACTGAGGTCATCGTATTTATTTTCAGCAAGTTCTCAGATTTAGAATGCCTCCACTGTGCAATGCAGCAGTGCCTGTTTAGCTTACAGTTTTCCTTCCACCTACCAGTATGAGGCCTGCTGTGTTGGGGACTTCTGGAAACTAATATAAAGACAGATCCACCTGCTATCCACCAATGCTATCTTTTGCCAAAAATACATGTATTTTAGGAACACATCATTTATTTGGTACTTTATATGTGCCTGGAGATCAGCTTTGTTGTTTAACAAGTTATAATTCTTGCTTCACCTTTTATTTTATACTGCACAGCACTGAATCATGTAATGTTATTTTACCTACAACAACACACTATAAGTGTATATTCAACAATATCAATTTAGTAATAATTAACATTTGTTTTTGTTCAATTAGAGCATCTGTCTTTTTATGTATAAATGAAAATTAAAAGAGGTTTTGGCTTTTTCCATATGGGTATAAGAGGCAAACTTGCCAGTAAACAAACTGAAAGAGCATACAAGTGACGTAGAGAAAAATGCAGTCTGCATAGCTGCAATGTTTGTAACAAGTGTTCAGAAATGTGCACTGAACGCTCATTATACAATTGCCCTGGGTTACACAAGAGAGGAGACCTATGCAGACTTCCCATTTACAGTATTACTCTAGAGGAAGTTTAAATATTCTAAACTGTAAAAATAGACTAGTAAGGGTACTGTGAGGCCCACTCAGGGTCATGTAGCAGTTTTACACCTCAGTGGATTGGTCATATTTGTAAAATCTCATCATTATAGAAGGTAAGGATGAGGAAAATGCAAAGTTCAGTGACCCAGAAAACAATTTTACTCATTGGAACAGCAGGAGGTGATTTCAAACATTTTTAGCATATCAGTAGTTAACCTTATTGCCACTGATTTACAGTGAAAGCAAACAACATAGAGTGCTATAAAGGCTTGTAAGTATACATAAAAAGGTTTTTAAAAAAAGTATCCTCTCTTTTAGTTTTATTATTTGTATTATTTGAATCAATTATGAAAACGTTTACATTTTGCTGCATAACAATCAATGTTTTGGGCTTATGGCGATGGGTAGCATATTTGCAAATGATATACACTAAGCTGGGTTCACACCTAGGTGTACGGAATATGCACGTTTCGTGCCGCACGTTTTTACCGCAATTTGGTGTAAAAAAAAACCCGCTCAACAAACGCGCGTTTCCAAAAGCTACCTGGCTGTATCCCAATGGAAACGCGCGACAAATACACCCCAAAGAAGCTCCTGCACTTCTTTAGGCGTAGGGCGTTTTACAACGCATTCCTACGCGCTGTAAAACGCCCAAGTGGGAACCATGCCCATAGGCAATCATTGGTTTTCACATGTTGAGCGTTTTATAGCTGTTAGGTCCGCGGTGTGGGCCCGAGATGATGAGGAGGACCTCCCTTGCAACCCTGTCTGATGAGCACTGGGTTGGAGACAGTGTGTGTCAGGCAGGGGGTGCACGGGTGCCGGATCAGGATACCAGGTGTCAGCAACAGGTAGTGTGCAGGCAGGATAGGCAGCCGTGCAGGATCCTAGAAGGCAAATAGAGAGGTCAGACAAGCCGGGTTGGTAACAGGCGGGCAGCGAAGTACAAGGCGGAATCCAATGGAGAGTCAAGAGGCAAGCCGGGTCAGTAGGAGGCAGGCAACAAGGTACAGAAGGGTAATCCAGGAGAATAGTCAGGGAGGAAGCCAGGTCACAGGTATCAAACAGGAGCAAGATCAACAGACGACTGGTGCTGGCTGAAAATCACACAGCAATGATCTAAAGCCCTGTGGGGCTTTAAATAGGCTGAAGGTGTGTACTGCGCGTGCGCTGCCGTGATGACGTCACCCGCGCACGCCAGTGTAATGACGTCACGCCGTGCGGGGCAGATCCCGCCGGGTCACAGGGCGTCTGCGCCTGCGCGGCCCAGTGATACTGCCGGGATGTCCCCTCCGTGTGCGTCCGCTCACACTGGCTCGTACTGGGACATTGTACGTCCCTCGGACCGGCACCCGACCTGGAGCCACTCGGACCGGGACCCGACAATAGCGCATAGGAATGCGCTGTAAAATGCCCTGGTGTGAACTAGGCCTTAGTGTCATAACATGCCATTCATGTCTGCAGTCTGGATTGCAAGACTTATCACTTTTATAAATGAGAACAGTTATTATCTGGTACCATAATCATATTAGTCTACATTTGGTAAGCTTAGCAGCTGTAAAAGCTGTGCATGTATCGTGCCCTAATAAATATGGACTGAGCTCCATAAATGTTGGTCAATAAAATGCTGATGCCTTGACTTATCTTCTCTGCAAGACCCATAAGTGCCTATATAACTACTATAAATTTGTGGATGAGCACCCGGGCATCAACCTTAGAAATAGAGTGCAGCGGCTACCCCTGGGATTGTGTCATCTATGTGCTTTGGTAGCTCTCAGAAGATGTGTTACTGTAAAAAGTACAGCTACACTTAGGAGCTGTGCCTGGTTTTGAAAACATCCACCCAGTCCCAGGTGCGCTGTAAAATGGAAAACAACCTCACATCAACCTATTCAAAGCATAAATGATAAAACTGTAAAATATACTTGTAACCAACTAAACCTACATCCTTATATATTGGTTGTGTGAGGAATCTGCAGCAACTGGAGTAAACTCATGCAAACAAGAAGAGAGCATTCCATGAAACGGAAGCTTAGGGGGTGATTAAAGCTGGCCATACACCTAAAGATTATCTGCAGATTTTCTATGGTCAGATGGAAAAAGTGCAACAGATTCCTCCATCTCCATCCAACTGTGTGTATGGAGGAATCTCCCACTGGGCCAAGCTTCACTATCTTGCTAGTTGGCCCCGCTGGCTCCCAAAATACCTGAACAATCTGATTGGATGCAGGCATTGTTCAGGTGTTTTGAGAGCCAGCAGGGCTGACTAGTGGGTGGGAGATTCCTCCATCCACTTAGCGTAGATGGAGGAATCTGTTGCACTTTTTCCATCTCACTATAAGTAAAAGATCAAAAACAAAACCTGTATGGCTGAATAAAACTGTAGAGGGAACAGCATTGGCGTTCCACAACTATAAAGAAAACAATAAAAGATGCAAACTAGCAATACGGACGGCTAAAATAGAGTGTGAAAGACATATTGCCATAGACAGTAAAAAAAAAAAAAAATTTTTACCAATACTCGATTAATTCCGTAACAAAGACTAGAGGCCACCACCTGAAACTGGTAGAAAAAAAATTCAAACACAAGGGGCGGAGGGGGTTCTTCTCAGTTCGCGCGGTTAGGGTCTGGAACTCGTTGCCACAAGCAGTGATTTCAGCTAATAGTGTGGAATCGTTCAAGAAGCTTTTGGACGATTTCCTGAGAAACGGTAATATACAGGGGTACAAGTACTCCTAAAAACGAGATGACTCGGGGATCTTTACACACACACACACAATAGGTTGGACTTGATGGACATGTGTCTTTATTCAACCTCAAATACTATGTAACTATGTAACTATATAAAATCAGCAGAAAATCTATAGGTGTATAGCCAGCTTTATAAAGGATTCACTCAGGGTGCATGCTCCTCGGCTGCATCTGGTGGCAGATTGCTGAATGCTTTATAAATCATCCTTAGTTTAAAAATATGTTTGTTTTTTTAGCAAACTTGTCCGTGTGCATGTAGTTGCCCAAATCAGATGTAATATTCCATGAAAATTTTGATTTTTCTTTAATAAAGGATACAGTTTGTTTTATATTTGTGGTTTTTAAAAGTTTAATTGATATAAATGCATCTCATGATCATTTTTCTTTTCTTTCTTTGACAGGGTTTAGCACTATGGCTACAACTGGATCCCACCGAGATAAAGCTTGTAACCCTCGAATGGGAAATTTAGCTATTGGCCGGCACCTATGGACAGATACCACTTGTGGCATTAATGGTACAGAACTGTATTGTATGTATAATCAGAATCTACATGGAACTTGCTCAGAGCCAAAATGTGACAAGTGCAATGCTGTTGTGCCCCGATTCTCACACTCTGCCTCTGCAATGGCAGACTCCACTTTTAAAATGCCACGCACTTGGTGGCAGTCAGCCAGGGACACGCAGAGGGAAATCATACAACTGAATCTGGAATCTTCCTTTTATTTTACTCATCTGATCATGGTGTTCAAGTCCCCTAGACCTGCAGCTATGATTCTGGAGAGGTCCCAGGACTTTGGCCTCACATGGCGTCCATATAAATACTTTGCTACAAACTGTACAACAACCTTTCAAATGGAGGATGATGTTCATGAGAAAGAATCTCTTTGTACATCACGATATTCACATGTTCTTCCATGCAGTGGAGGGGAGGTTAGTATACTTTGCAAAACAAAATGAAGATGTTGTTCATGCCAGGCTTTTCTACCACTACCATCTCAGCTGATGCCACAAAAACAGGAACACTAACAAAAGCATGATGATCATATGTTTATTTAATGCTTTTCTCTTTTAACTGTTAATAGGAAAGATATTCTCAGTTATAGGGTGATAGTTTATATGTATGACCAACTGTTTATAATCTGGAAGACAAGCAGCATTTAAATCAATGTTACTACAGCATCTGTTACATGTTTACAAGACAAGGGATTATGGGAAAAGAGCAGGTGTACCACATTTGATGGTTCACCAGCTTTATCCTTTTTTTTTTTTTTATAGCTCTAGTTGCTAATGAAAAGCTGTAGGGACATCTGTCAAATGATTGACATTACGGAAGGTTGATATACTGTACATTGAACTGCCATATAGGTGACCTCATGTAAATATATCGGTAATGTTCAACTTCTAAGTCACCTCTATTCTATTTCTAGTCATTGTACGATCCAATCTGATTTCTCTTTAAACTAATATAAAGAAGAAGTTACCATAAAGGTAAAATTTACAGCAAGTTAGGCCACTGACTGGTCAAATGAAATTCATCTTGTGAATAGGTAGCTAAAGCTGGTTGACAAAGGAATCTTACCAATTAAAATATAACAGCAATTGATAACATGTATGCAAAAATAAATATTGGTGTCAGACTTCTGCTGTGTATGTGTGTGTATATCTATATCTATATATATATATAGATATAGATATATATACTGTATATATGTCATTTTTTGAGGTGGACCTGATTGGAAGCCTAATTATAGTCTATGGGTATATATACATATATCTATATATCTCTATCTAGATATATATATATACATATCTATATATATCTAGATAGAGATATATAGATATATGTATATATATCCATAGACTATAATTAGGCTTCCAATCAGGTCCACCTCAAAAAATGACAGGTGGACCTGATCAGAAACCCCATGTGAAAAGGGACCTTACTGTCACATGAAGTGAGGGAAAATTTCCAACAATACAGACAGAAATTAAAATGATACTTTTTCAGTGGAGATAGGCTAGAACCCCTGTCGGCTCATTTTTTTCTGCCTGTGTCCCTATTGCAGAGATTTCCCTTACATCCTGTCTTGCGAAACTGCTGTCAACGTGACAGTAAATGAGAGGAAAGCTGGCCGGAGTTATTATTCTTCTGCACTCTCTCCAAAAATGTTTACTGGAAATACACTTAAAGCTGTCTTTTCATCACTGTATGGTTCATTCACTTCCAGATTTTTGCATAGTAGAAATGGTTTGTCAATAGCATTAGCAGGTGCTCTCCAACTGTTTTACAGGTAAGGTACGTTAAAAAGATGATTTACCATTAGCTTCAAAATAACAACAAAGGCACCTTTAGAAATGTTTAGTGATAGCAATCTTCAAGCAAATAATTGCCAGCTTTTTATTCTTTGTATACCTTTTTTTTCCTCCCCATTCTTCTGACAGTGGCCATTTTAACTAAGGGCAGGTTACTAGATCTCCTTTTACTTCCTGGAACTCTGGCACATGTGACTAGGACATGTGACCATGCACATCATCTCAAGGGAGGAAAATGCCTTTCCCTGAGATCTCGTGAGATTACAGATGAGATTTACCAGCAATGCTCTGCTGATGTAACCTTCCCAGGATGCAATACTTGGGCACATCATAGTACGTCACTTGTGCCAACGTGGACCAGGAAGTAGAAAATAATAAATTGTAAGTAAAATAAAAACATGTTTGTTTAGCTAATGAGTGTAAGATAATTTCATATTGGCATGCAGAGCTGTATGCTGATGTGCTTTTTAGTCAAAAGGTGTAAAGGTCCACTTTAAAGGACAGTTTTACCTTTTCTGATTAGTTTAGGAATACAAAGTTCTGATGTACTTTGAGATCCTTGTATAATAGGTTTATAGAGGCTAAGAAGCCTTGCAAAGTCAGCACCATTTTTCGGGTATTAGTCATATTACATTACAGAAGTTGTCAACGAGGTTATCAAGCCAAATTTCATCGGGACAGCTGCCAATATTATTACAAAGAGATCTGTCTGTTAGTTAACAGGGCAGTTTCTGGGTGAATGCTGCCTACATTAACTGTAGATTACATAATTTATTATTCTCAATACATACAACAATTGGGAAGAAGAACCCAGTAAGTGGCTTGCACAGCAAATCATTTCTTTATAGTTGGCAAAATGATGCTGTTTTTTTTGTACGATAATGTAAATGTAAAAAATACAGAGTGAGAAAATTACTTTTTTATGCCATGCACTTATTCCTGAAATACTCCCTTGAAAGAACTTGAGCAGTTGCATAAGAAAGAGCTTTCATATGTGGTATAAGGCTGATATTGTAGTGGAGAAGGACTTCGACTCACTTGCTGCCATTTGCCCCTATTCTCATAGGGGCCGAGCGGCAGTGAGTAAATAGCCAAATGCCGCTGAGCGGCATTCGGCTTGACTACTCCGCTCGGTACCTCCGAGGTACCGAGCAGAATAGAAAAGAAGTGTAAAAAAGGCTGCAAAAATGATTTTAAAAATACCATATAGAAAAAAATAAAAAATATTTGAATGAAGAGAAAAATAAATTTAAAAAACAATTGGGTGGATCTAGCAGTGACAGCTAGTTCGGCCCAACTGTTTCCTATTGGCCGGCACCTGCTAAAGTCTTCTAGCAGGTCCCGGCCAATGAATAACAACAGGGAAGAGCTGGAGGTGACGTCACGGCCGGCTGCGCCCAGTTGTTATTGTTTAATGACAGATCAGCGTCCACAGGTCATTTGGGGACGCTGATCTGTCATTACAACTGGGCGGAGCCAGATGTAACATCACAGCTGGCTCTGCCCAGCTGTCATTTGCGTGGTGAACAGCCAACCTTCTGCAAGCCGTTCTCCACGCTTAGGCTGTCACTGTGGCTGAGTCCAGCCGAAGCCTATGCCTTCGGCTCGGCTGAGCCGCTCGGCCGCCTTCGGCTACTGTATGGGCTATTGTGAATAGTTCGTACAGCAGCAGCCCGTACCGTGAGCAGTCCATACAGCAGTAATTGGGTTCAACTGAACCGAAGGGCTCCAGCGGCCGAAGAAAGTCGAAGGATCAGCTGAAGCTACGGCTGGATCCTTCAGCTCTTTAGAGAACAACCCCCTTTGTCTTACAATGCATCCCGTTTCCTGTCTTTTTTCAGAGGAGATGGAGGGTGGAACAATACTTGCAAGGCCTGACAGTGGGCCACATGGCAGGAGATCTGGGACATGTGCTAAACCCTAGCAATGCCCTATATATTGAATATCATAGGTGAGGACTGCCACTGTTTTGATTCGCAGTAAGGAGTGTGGAGGAATTTGGACGGCCGCTTTTGGTTTAGCATAGAATACTCATTTATGTTAAAGCTGAATTGAAGTTAAAAGAAAAATGAATCAAGAATCAAGAAAAATGAAAAGCCCATTAAAAGATAAGCCAACAAAACCATCATTTGCTGCAAAATTTAATCTGGAAATTTCCTCTGCAGTACTATTTTTTTTTCCATCAGATGTCCTTAGTGTGATGGCCTGCCTCATCGAACCCACTTCCTCTAAGCCCAGGTTGTATTGGACCTGCCCCAGCCTATGATTGGATAGTCAAAGGAGAATCAGGATAATGATTAGCTCATCTCTCTGTCACTCTAAGTTCTCTTCCTATCAGTATGCTCCTTGCCAGAACATGACCTGATTGGTTCTTTTTACTGCTTACTCTTTCACTTCAGCCCTCCCCTACAGGGTCTGCAAGAGGCTGATATTTCCGGTATTTACACTGCTTGCATTAAACAAAACTAATTTAATGATGTATTAATTAGAAAGCTGCATTCATTTTTTTTTATGAATGTCTGGAGTTCAGCTTTTAGGTTTCTAAAAATATCTTTGATGTTAAAACTTAATATAGCCTTGATAGTACAATACAAAATACACAGTGTAGCATTTTATTCGAAAACAAAATGACTCTGTGAGGAAGGATGTGAAAAAAGTAAATTAATTAATTCTCCTTAAACAAATGCTAATCTGCCCTTGTTTACAAATAGGGACTGCCAAGGCTTTACAAATGGTAGCTGATGAGGCGTCCACATGTCCAGGAATTTGCATTTTCCTACAGACTACACAATGTACAAAACCCGAGAAGATTGGGTATTTCAATATTCCACTGATATGTTATCAAAAAGAATAAATTAACATTTGCCTGAATGTTACCGTCTAACATTCCATTGATATCATTTGCTCCTGGGATAACACAGTAGTTCTGAATTTCTTTTTCTTTCACTTCCAAACAAGTATCTACAATGTTTTAGCTTAAATACTGAAATAGTTTTTTTTAAATGATAGTTTCTTTATTCGATATGTTCAGGACTAAAAAATATGTCTTTATTTATTTGACTCTGCGTGTGAATATTTGATATTATTGATTCATTATTATGAAATGCATAGCTTGTAGCCTTAAACTTCTGCATTTGAAGGTCAAATCATAGCAAACACAGCTGAATAAGTAGCACACCCCCTTCCTGATTACTAGCAGATATGGCCTCATATGGACCCTTAGTTAGGCAATCAACACGTGGAGAGGCAGTGCTGAGCTTTCATATCAGAAAACCAAGCATTCTTGCTTAGGCCTGGTTCACACCTGGGCGTTTTGTAGCGCGTTCGAACGCTCTGCAAAACGCTCAAACACCGAAATCCCATTATTTCCTATGGGTATGGTTAACACCTGGGCGTATTACAGGCCGTATGAACGCGCTACAAAACGTCCTACGCCCAAAGAAGTACAGAAGCTTATTTGGGGCGTTTTTGTCGTGCGTTTCCATTGGGATACAGCCAAGTAGCCCTCGGAAACGCGCTTGTCACACGGTGAATCACGGTAAAAACGCGCGTCACGAAACGCACGACAAACGCGCATATTCGAAAAGCCTAGGTGTGAACCCAGCCTTAGTGTTTAG